GCTTCTACATGAAGGTTTTGACCACAAAGGGCTTTGACACAAGACAGAAACTTGATGCTGCCTTGGCCTATGCTGATTGGCTTGATTTCAAAGGCTTGGGCCATACGGCGGGTGAGATGTATAAGTGGGCCTTGGACATTGCTGTCAGTGGGCTGGATGGAGATGCTAGTAAGATTGTGGATTTGAAGAACGGCCTCTTGAAGAATAACAGCAGGGACCTACCTTCAGAGAACATTCTCCGTGTCTCCACGGCCCTCGCTGTCCACAACGCTCGTCAAGCCGACCTTCCAACAGCTTTGTCCCTCTTCACATCTGTTCTCAAAGCCCGACGCAGCCTCCCTCTATCATCAGACTCTGATATAATGCCCTCTCTCCCGACTCTACCTAAATCCACCAAAGACCCATTCGCTTCTCTCTTCAAATCGCTCAAAAATGTCCTCATTCCCGTGGAGTACCCAGCACCCCTCCCATCAGGCAACGAACCCCCACGCCGCACCGCGGCATCCGCCTGCGAAGAAGCAGGATTGATGACCTACATCGGCGAGATATTGTACGCCTCCTCGTCGAAGGAGTCCGGCCTTGCCTGGACGCGCGATGCAGTAGACATGGCCGAGTCCACGATGCTCGACCTCGGCAATTCAGCCGACCGTACTGCCCGAACCCGCTGCGCACAGTGCCTGAAGGTCGGGCTGGAGAATTGGAAAACCATGGTCTCTTCTCTTGTTACCCGTGCTCGACGAGAGGAGCAGGAGAGCAGAGATCAGGCTAAGAGTGCTTGGTTCGGCGGCGAGCGCCGCGTAGAGGCGAAACATCTTGATTGTCGACGTTGGGAGGCTGAAGATGCCATTCTGGAGGATCGGATTCGTCGCCTCTTCCCTCTCCTCGAGGGTGAGTCTGGGCTGGAACTCCTCGCTCCAAATAGCTCTTTGTTCGTGTAGTGTTATTATCTACTTATATACCTGGACATTTGCCTTTGCGGAGTCGAGGTTACTTTTAAACATATATAGATTATGTTCGGCGTGGCGATCAATTTCGCTTTTCAATTATATTTCTACCTATGTATATCAAAACCTCTCAAGCTTTATAGATCTACATCCCAGCGAGGTAAGCAAATCGACTTTGAGAAGTCTCGACTACTACCATTCCTATCATTAGCTGTAGACCAACTCGACTGATGTGGTCTATTCACAAAGAGACAATATATTTTTATTCTGTACGTGAATCCTTTCTTGTTTCGCCTACTTAGCAGCATGGGCGATTACGATCATCAGCCGATGCAACCTTGGAAGCATACGTTCCGGGACAAGTAGAATCCTTCAAAAGAGACAAAATAAATAGCGGCAAGAATGAATGTTGACTAGTACATATGGATAGTAAGCTTCGCATCATTCCGTCAACTGGACCTTCAGCTCCCCAAGCATCTGACTGTGTCTCCACCCTAGAACGACAGTGTGGTATATGTACATGGAAAAGCCAGCCCTAGACACACACTCAATGATGTCACTCGCGGGCGTAGGCGAGTCTCAAGTATATGGGAAGATTGTGAACGACCTAATTTAGGTGGCCTTGTCCTTGTTGTGGTAGTTGACGTCGGAGTTCCAGCTGTAGATGATGAGTCAGTCCTGGGGTCTCAGAAGGGGATATGGTGATGAGAGAATGGCATGCAATCCGCTTGAAAGCAGATCATCAGATGCAAGATTGCAGAAGCTAGCTGTTCCGCAAAACGAGATATAGTATGTGGTTGGGTCGGGCAAGTCAGAACTCACAAGATGGTCTATTCCAAACATAAATTAGCTCGGTTTTTCAGCGCGTTGCATAGTTGGATTCACATACCTTATCACCGTCTCCCCAAGGGAAGTTCTTCACACGAATGTTCTGGTAAGGGTACTCGGTGCGTTCCTCGAGCGGGGGCATGTGCTCCCAGTGCTCCCAGTGCTCGGACCAGAGATTGTAGGCATTGAGACCGCCACCAATCAGGCAGGGGATAACGGCACTATGAAGTGATTAGATTTTTCCTTTATCGGTGAGGACATCAAATCAAGGATTGACCTTGATTGGAAACGTACAAGATGGACAGCTTGCGCCAGAGGTCTGTAAAATAATCGGGTTAGTAAGGATATTGTCTACGGCCAATGGGCACGAGGCACAATCAATTGAGTTCAATTATGGTGGTACATACCACTGGTAGAGGCAGCATGGTGCTTGACGGCAGCTCTCTCGCGGTTGAATTCGTTGTCGACGATCCAAGAAGGCTTGGCTTCGGCGCTGTTGAAACGGCGCTGGATGGTGGAGCGGACCGGAGCGGAACGCATTTGCTGCGTAGCACGCTGGGACAGTCGACCAAGATTGCGCTGAGGGAACATGGTGGGCGACGTTAAGGAGTTCTTTCGGTGGTGGAGGTCAAAAGTGGTGCGATGAGGTCTAAAGCCGTCTTTAGCGTATCCCCGTGATCTCCCGGATTACGTAACCTGATGTTGTGTTGCCTTATATATTAGGCAAGAATAAGGCCCGTATTGTAACTAACGTAATCCACCAGCGAGTGGGGCCACCCAACCCAACCTACCAATTTTAAATGCATTTATCTCAACCAAAATGCCATTAAATTAAATAAACTAAAATCATCATCTATCTGGACATGCATCTCTCCTATGACCCTGATTTTTACATAGCCCGCATGTTGGCAAAGCCCTAGTTCTTGGCTGTAAAGGTGGCGAAGGCCTTCTTCGTGGCTGGGGTATGGGTGCTTCTATTGCTTCCACCGGCTGCATAATCAATGCAGATGCTTCTTGAACTGAGAGGCCCTCTTCGGCAGGTATCTGCCTTCGGGATCTGGTACGCTTTTGCTTTTGCTTCTGGTTGGCGGCGCGTAATTCCTGGTTTTCTTTGGCGAGTAAGATAGCACCTTGCATTGTAACACGGAAGCCTTTCACAAGCTGGTTGAATGCACGACCTGACGGGCTAGGTGGGCTTCGAGATCTTGTACGAAGTAAAGCTTTGATTGATGAAGCCTGTCGACGTAGTTCTTTCTCTGTAGTAGGGGTTTTTGGGGTGAAATTCCGGCTTGATTCACTACCCCTGCTAAGGGGGGGGGTCGGGGTTCGAAGCCAAATATCAAGCTTTGAAATCACTCTCTCCGGTGAAAAAGGGACTAAACCGGCTGCTCCGAAGCTATTTTTAATAGCCTCCGATTTAAAAGCTTCAATTCGTGCGAGGGGGTATGCTTCGAAGGAAATCAAGTTTATCAATATGATTTATCCCGACCCGCATTTTTGATTTAACTAGCCGACTATACGACCGTTTTAAGACCGTAAAACAGCCGATATCGAGAGGTTGTAAAAGATGAGATAAATGCGCCGGCATATAAATTGGTATTACCTTATTTCTCTCACAAATTTCGTCAAATTTAGGTGTTAAATGACTTCCGTGGCTGTCGAGTATCAAAAGCCGATAACCCCCCCCTTCGTACGCAAAGAAGTAGTAGGAATAAAGAGCTTTTCGAGCCACCGAAGTCCAATTTCATCGGAGGTCTAACCGTTCGGACTAACTTCGAAATGCCAATCGTTAGGGAGGCCGTCGAACCAGGATTTAATAAAGACTTTACCTTTAAAAATCACGCATAGGGGAGCGCCTACCCCGAAGCGTTCGTAGACTCGATTACCGTCACACACTCGCGATTTCCAGGTTATAAAAGTGCTCGCCGACCGTAGTATTCACTCCTCGTTATAACCTTCGCGGTTACCGTTAATCCTATCGCGAAACCGGTCTTATCGAAGTTATAGATATCATCGGTGTATGTAACGGATAAAGATCTTTACAAAGAGAATACCATGCCAGGCAGTCTTGGCAGATCGACCCCACGTCGTGGCCGATCCGAGAGGGGTTCATCACATGATATGCATGTCGACATTGGAAGAGATAGATCCCTTATT